ATTAATATGTATATAAATAAGAATACTATTTATAAGAATGTTATAAGCAATGCTAATAGTAGTATACATAAATTTATATAGAGTATAGTTTTATTATCTTTAATGCTACCTGTGTTTTAAGAACAGAATGAAAACAAAAATAATAGCTATTTCACCAAGTATCAGTAGGCAATATTAAAGAAATAGTTTTTTTATAAATTTGAGTTTGCTCATTTCTAAGATTTCCAGTAAAGTAAAATGACCCATGAAAGTAACTGACAATACGAATTGCTTCCTTTGATATACGTTTATATACTACTGACTCTTTAAAGATATCACCAAAAACCAAGTTCATTTGGTGTACTATATATAGAATAAAAATTTTATCAGGATACTTGCGACGAAGTTGATGACTACAAAAATAAAAAAAAATTAATATTAAATTAATAATAAATAATAAATATAGTATAATAATTATCGCACTGCAGCATATTCTCCAGCAGAATCTAAAATAAATGCCTAATATTAATGTTTTTTTTCTTTTGCTTCACTTATTAAGTTTTTAATATAGTCAATTACATTGGCAGTTTTGGATCTCTCTGAACTAATTTCATGAGTGCCCCAAATTAGTGCTCTTCCTTGTGAAGTAATAAAGACAATTCTCCAAATATACTCTTGTTTAACATTACTCCATCTGTCAAATACTGCTGTTACACTATCTAAGTCTAATTGTACAGCTTTTATTACTTCTGCTTTGACTGATTCAGCATTGTTTATTAATAATCACCCTCCAATTGTTTTGCATTTTGGAAGAATAATCCCAGGAGAAATAAAATTAAATACCACTTGAGTTTCTTCATTTTCAAAAAATATAAAAGGCAACCCATTTGAAACAATCATACGCAAACAGAGATTTTCAAATTTTGGTCTATTTTTTTTGGGTTGTAGGGATAATAATAACTTGTAATTTTTGAGTAGATAATATCGCAGATTCTGAACTTGAATCTTGCTTTTTGCTTGAAGATGGTGAATTCATATTATCATCATCTTAATAAATTAAGTATATTAATTTTTAACAAATTAGTTTAATTAGCAAATAATTTATTTATATATATATTTTATTTTTTTACCTGAAGTATCTTTTTTTTGTTTTTTATCTTCAGCAACAGGAAGCGCCAATATTTGATCACGTTCTTTAGCATCACAATTATTCTTAAAATTCTCACATTTAGCAAGATGACTTTGATATAAATTTTTTTTATTTGATATATATGCACCTTCAACTAACAAAGCTACCTGTACTCCTCCATATTCTGCT